ATTGCTGGATTGTTAATGCAGAAACTCAGCTAATGTACTGGGGATATAAGTTCAAATTCTGCCATGGCAGACAGTGGAAATTGAATTCAACAAAGAATCTGGAATTAAGGATCTATTGATGACCATGAAACCAATGTTGATTGTCAGAAAAACCCACTGGTTCACTAAGATCCTTCAGGGAAGGAAAGTCATCCTTACCTGGTGTTACAGAGGGGGAATGGCCAAACCCCTCTGATAATTAAACCAAAACACAAGCCCTAATCTGTTATGACAGGAGTAGAGGTTCCCTTCTAATAACTTACCCCCCAAAAGCACCCAGAGAATTTTGCCTTTCTCCCATAATCTACTAAAAGAGTGGTTTAAACAAAGAAAATCGCTGATCCCCTTTATAGATAACAAGAAACAATTTATTTATTTAACCCTAACAATGAACAAATTAACAGAATTACTAACAAACTGAACAATTCCCTTCTAAGTACTAACTACACCCTAACTGGTCTAAATTCTACTGGAATGTTGTTCAAATAAACACAAGTTCCACTAATGTAAACCCCAATTAATAAGACAACAATAAATTGAAACCTAATCTCTGCAAGTTCGCACAGACTGTTTTCTGGAACTCTCTGCCTTGTCCAGCCTTTCCCCTGTCAATCTCACGTCACAAATGTCTTTCTTCCGCTGATTCTGCTGTCAGGGATGTTTTTCTGTTTAAATTGCTTCTGTGAGGACTTTTAGCTAGAAACGCCGTGTCAGCTTTTAATTAGACGGTGCTTTCTCTGAGAGCTAAAAGGTATTGTCACTTGGCAGTTGGCAGTTAGCTTTCCCCGATTTTCCAAATGCTCTCATCTTTCTATCCATGATGACATAACAATATTTCTTACATAGGATTGGTTTAATATTGTCAACACCCTCAGATTTAAATTTAATAGGTTTTTATTATCTAAGAGCTTGCTTTAACTTGATTGGCTAAATTTGAAAACTATTGTCTTAGTAAAAATGCTGCTTGGCTGTTCCATACAAAATGTTTCCATTTGGATGCTCTCTGTGTGCACCTGCTTGCAAACTTCCAAGCACAGACAAAGCACAATCTCTTAAAGGGATCACACACTGTTTTTCAATTTATGAGTATTCTACACAACTTTGTAACACTAGCTTGGCCTGCATGTGACTCCAGGCCCCCAGCAAAGTGGTTGACTCTTAACTGCCCTCTGGGCTATTAGAGATGGGCTATGAATATTGACTTAGTCAGTGAAGCCCACATCCCATGAATGAATAAAAAAAAGCCCAAAAGCCGAAACAACTAGGCCTGACATCAAATTGGCTAAACAGTTTCTGCAAGCAAAATCTGATGGAATGCAAAGAGGCCAACATCACCACAGATCAAAATAAGGACCAGTCCAGATCTGTCTTTTGTATTGAACAGGAGTCCTTGAAACTCATTATGAAGTACTCAGCCAGAACAATCAGGAAAGACATTACGCTTGTATATTCCCCAGTTTCCAACAGATCCCTTTGCATCATGGAGTAATCATATTTTGGAAAAGGGATGGGTATGCCTAAGATGCTTTGGCCTAACCTCATTGGGCCCTGTGATTCTTACCCTGCGGCTCTATTGGCTGAAGTCAGACAAGATTCCATAAGAAAGGGAGGATAACAAGGGATACTAGGTGGGCTTTCCCTCAGCAAAGACTCAGTTGACAAAAGGCGCCATGCAAGACCTACCTTCATATCAAGAAGACCTTGACTGCACCCATCGCCAGAGTTCTGTGAACTGAATCCAGCTGGCCAATCAAGCTCACCATAACAGTTGGTATATGTATTTTTCAGGCAGTCTAGTTTAGTGAAACATTTTTTTTGTATAGGGAGTTGTTTCTCTAACTTGCAAATGTTTTAATAAAACTAAATTTGAACCACAGTTCTTTGTTTGTCTCATGTAGTAAGAGCACCTGGGTAAATTCATTTCATTAGAAATAAACTGGTCGACTATCTGTTTAGGATATCTCACAGGCAACACTAGGAAGCTAAAGTCCTTTCAGCTTGACATCAATAGTGGGAAACTGATGGAGGCCATAATATGGGATATGATAAATATACATTTAGAGAAAAATAGCTTAATAATAGACAATCAACATGGCTTTGTCAAGGGCAAGTCACGTCTGACAAATTTAATTGAATTTTTTGACAAGGTGACACATTGGATGAAAGTAATGCTGTGGATGTTGTACACTTAAGACTTTCAGAAAGCATTTGATTTGGTGCCATATGGTAGATTGGTTATTACATTTGGGATTGATGGGTCCTTGGCAGCATTGATTAGAAGTTAATTAAAAGACAGCAATCAGAAAATTGGTAAAGATGGGCATTTCTCAGATGGGAGAGTTGAAAGTGGTGTGCCCCAGCAATCAGTGTAGGGACCCTTGCTTTTTCTGATTTATATAAACGATTTGGAGATAAGTATTGAGGGGAAAATCTGGAAGTTTTCAGATGAAACTAAGCTAGGGAGAATATTGAATTGTGAGGATGGCTCTGAGCAACATCAGAGGGACACTGACAACTATTCAACTTATCTGGTCACCTTCAGAGAATTATACACTTGAACCCTGGCGACCCTCTGCTCCAGTACTTTCTTTCAAAGTGTTGAACCTGTATTGTCTGTCCATGCTTCTCCTACTGACAAGTTACTTTAAGTGCTCTCTACCAGCACTAGTAAATTGCACAAAAAAGTGGCCCCAGCTCTGTTAAATGAAAACCTGTCTAGCTGATATGTTACACCTTCCCCAGAACCAGATTTCAAGCTCCAATGCATCAAAAGCCCTCCATACTGTACCAGCTTTCCAGCCAAATATTCATTTGCTTTATCATTTTATTTCTGTACCCACTTTTGCATGGAACTGGTTGTAATCCAGAGGTTACCCTAACCCTATCACTCATAAAGTTCGCAGCCTTGTACGTGCACCATGGTGATGCCATCTGCTGCTGAGCTTCAAAGCTCAGAGCTCAGGTTGCTGCCACTATTTTTTCATTATTCTTTCATGAGTTGTGGGCATTGCTGTTAAGGCCAGTCTTGTTGCTAATCCCTAATTTCCTTTGAGAGGGTGCTATGTCATTTTCGATGACTGTTAGGAGTCATTCATGTTGCTGTGGATCTGAAATCACATACGAATCAGATCAAGTAGGGAAGTGAGATTTCCCTACAGCGAACCAGATGTGTTGTTAAAACAATCAATGATAGCATCATCATCGCTATTCCTGAGACTATTTTCCAATTCTAGGTTAATTAATTGAATTTGAAATTCCACCAGCTGCCATTCCATCCCATGAAAATTAGCCTGGTTTTCAGGCCTACTCGTCGAATGACATCACCATGTAGTACCATCTCTCTAAAATGACAATGCTTCTTATACAAACATGGAAGTCCTACATGGCACAGGATGTGCACTCTAGAGGTTAGAGCAGCAATTTCTCATAGAAATCACAGAATTTGTACAGTGTGGAAACAGGCCATTCAGCCCATCAAGTCCACACTGACTCTCTGAAGAGCATGCCATCAGACACACCCCTACCTTATCCCTGTAACTCTGCATTTCCAATAGCTAATCCACCTAGCCTACACATCACTGGATACTGTGGGACAATTTAGTATGGCCTATCCACCTAACCTGCACATTTTTGGACAGTGTGAGGACTGTGCAAATTCCAACAGTCGCATGAGGGTGGAATCAAACCTAGGTCCCTGGTGCTGTGAAGTAGTAATGCTAACCACTGAGCCCCTCTGCTGTCCTCTATCCATTAGATAATAAACCTTCAGTTTATTTGGTGGATTTGAACTTGAATCTTGCTGAAAATTGAAACATATTACCGAAGATTTCTGCTTTGTACTCAGCAGAACAAATACAGGAATGCCAAATTTCAACATAGCAGAAAAAAATTATATTTTAACAGAAGTACAGCTGATTAGGTGGCAAGGTGACATTGACTGGCCAAGCCTTGTAGTGGAGAAAGTAATGGGAGCTTTTAAAAAGACGTCTTGAAAATATTACTTATTTTTAAAAAGAGAACCAGCCCCTGTACAAATGCATATTGCTTTTTGCAATTGTAAATTGCATGTTATGAGTTTGACTGATTATCTTAAATTGATTATGTATCAGTTAACATAGTGGGGATTGTTGAACAAGTAAATTCAGAATCACAGCTAACAGTGGATGTTTTAATTTGGGTTTTACAAACGCAAGCTAGTTGAGCAAGGTCTGTATTCTGCCTCTGATGAACAATCAAAGGAACATGGGTTTTGATTTGATCGAAAAGAGTGAGAAACTGACCTACTTAATGAGGGTGGAAGTGAGGATTCAACGAGTGAGAGCAGAGTGAGAAATGAGTCTATCCAATGATGGGGGAATGAGAACCTGGCACACCAAATGTTGGGGCCAGGGGGGTTTGTGAAAACCCGGCACACCACACTCAGTGAGGAGGGAGTGAGAACACAGTACACACAGTGAGAAGGGAGTGAAAACCTGAACCACCCAATGAGAAAGTGGGGGGAGTGCGAAACTTAGCCCACCCACCAAGCCAGGGAGCAATAAACAAGCCCACCCCAGACAGGGTGACTGAGAAACGAAGAGTTGGGTGTGGAATGTATATACAGGATATATATTCTGCATACCGAGCATCACATCAGCATTGAGACTACTACATAATCGAATGCCCCAGAATGCTGCCACTCCTGCTTCTCTACAGGTGATAGGCCCCGCACCAGGCATTCAATTTATTTTTTCCCTGATGTTCTGAATATCTTCTAGTCTGCTGTTGTTGTACCTGTCTCTTTCTACAGTTATTTGAAAGCCAATTAGCTCATGCCTTTTTGTGATGCCACAGTTTGATTTTATTCAATTTTATACTTGGTGTCCAATGCTCTTCAGAAAATATCAGGTCAAGGGATGTGAAATCCTAATACAGTATGCATCAACACATGAATGCAGATCAGTATTAAGTGTGCAAATGTCTTTTTTTTATTTCAAAAATATGCTTTATTTATGAAATATACATATATATATATAAATACATAGCTGCAAAAGCAGTTTAGTTCTGTACAGTAGCATGAACAGCACTGGAGTTTCACTCTATCAAACAAACCAAAGTCATCTATTACTTCCTCAAGATCAGATTTACATATATTTGAGGTATGGGAGGGTCTGTTAACTGAACAGACCCCCTTTTAACTTCAGCAGAAAGACCTCACACAGTGGTCTTTCCCTACTGTGCCTTGGCAGCAGCTGCCCCAAGCTTTAGTGTGTCCCTCAGCACATAGCCTTGGACCTTGGAATGTGCCAGTCTGCAACATTCCGTCAGGGTCAACTCCATGCTCTGGAAAGACCAACAAGTTTCGGCCAGAGCAAAGAGCATTTTTCTCTGAATTGATGGTCGTCCAAGCACAGTCGATGTTTATCTTGGTGTGCATCCTAGGGAACAAACTGTAGAGCGCAGAGTCCTGCATCATGGAGGTGCTTGGAATGAACTCGACAAAAACCACTGCATCTTTCTCCAGACAGTCTCTATCACTTGCAGCCACTTCAAGGGCGATGTGCGGGTGGTGCAGACAGACCAGGTGCAGAAGAAGGATCTTACAGGTAGTGCCCCTCTCACCATCAGTCATGCGATATCTTGGTGCTTGTTGGAAAGTTCTGGTGATGAGGCATTCTGCCAAATGACTTTAACAGTCTGCTCATGAACCATGTGACAAGATCCATCCTCTCCTTTCCCCTCAGGGTCTCAAGGATGCTACGTGCTGACCACTTCCTGATGGACATATGGCCAAAGGCGGATTTCTTTGCAAACATCTCCATGAGGGACAGATGACACAGAAAGGTCCAACTATTTGCAGCATTCCGCAGCAATGAGGCCAGTCCCATCCTTTACAACTGTGCATACAGGTAGAATCTCAGTACGTAGTGGCACTTGGTGTTTGCATATCGAGGATCCACACACAGCTTGTGAAAATGTCTTTTGTCAGCAGAACGTGAACTAAATGCTATCATGCAGGGATTGAGCAAGTTATGGAAGGTGTCGGGTGGAACTACAATACGGTAAATGTGACTGAATAATGCATTTGGATAGTTCTGTATCAATATTGGGTATAAGAAGCAATAATCTCAAACTCATCATATTGCAACACATAAAATCTGGAGGACAAAAAGATAAGTGCTTCAAAATTATGTAATTAACTATTCATGCTTAAGTATATTTGAGGAACTCGCCCTGTATTGATAAAGGTAATGTATACATCACACCACATGCAACCAGTGATACAGCACAGCAATTTTAGTTTCTCTGCAAGTTTGGACCATGATTAATTTTAAAACCATCACCTGTGATAGCTATGAATGGATTGAAAAGTTGAATTATAGTACTAAGGTTACAATGGACACAGTTTATATACCATTCATAAAAAAATTACAGCTTAATAAAGCTTTTGTTTATATAAAATTACAAAACTTATTATTTATATGTTTTAAAAAGAAATTTGTATAACTGGACTGATAAGGCAACCAGTCTTCGTTATCTGTTGCAAACCTCACAACCTTGTCTAAAAGTCAACTAAACACGCAATTCAATAATCAGTATTGCAATACAGTGAAAATAGAAATTTTATTCCTTTAATCATTTAGGAAATATGCACATCACTGACAAGGCACGATGGCTCTGTGGTTAGCACGAGGGACCCAGGTTTGATTCCACACTCAGACGACTGGCTACGTGGAGTTTGCACATTCTCCCTATATCTGCGTGGATTTCCTCAGGGTACTCTGGTTTGCTCCTACAGTCCGAAGATGTGCAGGCTGGGTGGAATTGGCTATGCTAAATTGCTCATAGCGCCGAGGGATGTGCAGGATAAGTGGATTAGCCATGGGAAACATAGGGTTGGGTCTGGTTGGGATGTTCTTTGGAGGTGTGCATTCGATGGGCCAAATGGCCTGCTTCCATTCTGTAGGGATTCTATGATCCCCAATTGTTCTTACATGGTTAGTGCCTTCTTAAATTGCTGTAGTCCATGTGGTGCAGACACACCCAAAGTATTATCAAGGAGTTGTTCCAAGATTTTAACACAGCAACAGTGAATATGACATATTTCTAAATCAGGATGGTGTGTGATACAGCAATTGTCAAAGGCAGAGGGCCAACATATAGCTGTGAAAGAACAAAAAAAAATTCCATATGATTTTAAAACATGCAGCAAATGAAGGCAGCAAACACAGAAAAGAATCTCTATTTCTTAGATAGGTTTAGTAACTGCTTCACTGCACACATTGCCAACATTATATTTTTTTAAAATTTACTCAAGGGATGCAGGTGTTACTGGCTAAGCCTGTATTTAATGCCCATCTCTAATTGCTCACAGGGCAGTTAAGAGTCAACCACATTGCTGTGGGTCTGGAGTCATATGTAAGTCAGACCAGATTTTTATTGAAATCAAATTCCACATCTGCCATTGCAGAATTTGAACCTGAGTCCCCAGAATGAGTTTTTAGATTAATAGTCTAGTGGTAATACCACTAAGTCATCACCTCTTCTTAGTCATGCGTATCTGTAGAAGAAGCTATAATTTAAATGGAATATTAGGGCTGAATCTTCATTGAGGCTTCAAGAAACCCAACCTGTGCATTTGCACAAGATGCAAACTACACAGACTGCACATGCATAACTTATAAAATCATAGAATTATAGTAGTTTACAGTGCAGGAGGCCATTTGACCTATTGTTTCTGTACCAGCTCCCAAAAGAGCTATGCAGTTATTTCTACTCTCCAGCCATATCTTCATAGCCCTCTAACTTCATCACTTCACATACCATTCTTGATTTTTCACAATAGATTCAGGTTAGCAGTGCAGTTTCAAGCAATGTTGGAGTGCATCAGCAGTGTGGGTGTAGAGGGCAGGTCAGAAGGCCCACCTCAATTATTCATAACATCATAAGAAATATGACATTTGGCCCCTCTAGCTTGCTCTACCATTCAATAGGATCATGATTGGATTGACATACCTCACATTCATTTTCTTGACCTTTCTCCTTAACCCTTGATTCCCTCACTGATCAAGAACCTATCTATCTTCGTCTTAAATTACGCATGGAATCTGCCCCGACAGCTCTCTGTGGTAAGGAATTACAAAGACTCAGGACCATCTGAGAGAAGAAATTTTTCCTCATCACAGTCTTAAATAGGTACCCCTTTATTCTGAGACTATATCCTCTGGTCCTAAACTCTCCCATGAGGGGAAACATCCTCTCAGGATTTACCCTGTCAAGCCTATTAAGAATCCTATATGTTTCAATGAGATCACCTCTCATTCTTCTCAACTCTAATGAGCAGAATTCCAACCTGTTTAATCTTTGCTCACAAGATGATCCTTCTATACCAAAGATCGCCTTAGTGAACCTTCTCTGAACTGCCTGCAATGAAATAACAGCTTTGCTTGAATAATGGGACCAAATAGTTCAGTTTTAATCTTCATGCACCTTGTACAATTTCAACAAGACTTTCCAACTCTTCTACTTCAACCCCTTAAAATAAGGGCCAACATTCCATTACAATAAATAACAAACTGCTAGACATCTGAGAAAAACACAGTTATTGCTGGAGAAACTCAGCAGGTCAGACAGCATCTGTAAGAAGAAAGTAAAGTTAATGTTTCAAGTCTGGTGACTCTTCAACAGAACTGTCAACAGCTCGGAAAAAAGTGGTATATTTCTCCCACAGATGCTGCCAGCCCTGCTGAACTTCCTCAGTAATTTTTGCTTTTGTTTCAACATTTTATTTGCCATTTCGATTAACTACTGCACTGTCAGAAGTCACATGACACCAGGTTACAGTCCAACAGGTTAATTTGAAATCACACAAGCTTTCGAAGTGCAGCCCCTTCATCAGGTGCAGTGAGCAAGGAGAGCACACAGACCCAGAGTTTATAGGCAGAGAGATCAAGGGCAGAGAGATCAAAAGATCATACAACTGGTGTAAGTGGAGTGTCAGATAATCCACTCTCATACACACACACACACACAAACACAAACACACGTGCGTGCGCGCAAATCTATGGGGTGAATCATTTGATCCAAGGTGTTTCTTTATTTGCAGATACATTCCATTTTGTTCAAAAAACACACAATTTATAGTCACAGTCAGTCAATGTGGGATCTTATAAATTCCTGCTTTCAGAATAAAGCCAGCCTGATTCCAGTTTAAAACTCTGAGACAGATTCTGAACAAGGCCTCACACCTACAATTCAGCGTCTGACCTGAGGTGTCACGTTCTGTATATTCCTATCGCTCTGCCTGATTATCATGACAGCACAATACTGACATTGACTTTATAAACACTTTACTCGCCATCTAACACTCTTGGTCACCTGCAGATTTATTATCTGACACCCACTCACACCAGTTGTATGATCTTTTGATCTCTCTACCCTTGATCTCTCTGGTGTCATGTGACTTCTAACTTTGTCCACTCCTGCCCAACACCGGCACACCCACATGATCGCTGCACCTGTATATTAGCTTTCCATGTTTCATGAAAAAGTACCTGAAAGTCCCTTTGTGTTGCAGCTTTCCTAAATTTATCTCCATTTAAATAATACCCTGTTCAGTTGTTCTCCATTCCAAAATGAACAACTTCACATTTTCCCACAGTAAACTCCATTTACCAACATTTTGCCCAGTCATTTAGCTGAGGAATATCTATCTATAAATTGTTTGTATCCCTCTCTCAATCTGCCTTTCCAATTATTTTTATGTCATCTGCAAATTTGGCTACAGTACATTTTCTTCCTTCTTCCAAATCATTAATATATATTGTAAACAGTTGCAGTCACAGCACTGATCTCTGTGGAACCCCACTGGTCACAGGTTCCAGGTCCCCAACCTGAGAAAGAATCCTTTATCCCCACTCCCTGGTTCCTGACCATTAGCCAATTCTCTACACATGTCAATATATCACCCAAAACACCATGGGCCCTAATGTTTGAACTTGACTTTTTATGAGGTACCCTTGTCAAGCACATTCTGGAAGTCCAAATATAGTACAACTACTATCCATTATCCTCTATTTCTATCTATCTCCATCTACCCTGGTTAAGACTTCCTCAAAAAATTCTAATAAATTAGTCAGACACAATTTTCTTTTAATGAAGTATGCTGACTCTGCTTGATTAGATTATGATTTTACAAATGTTCTATTATTATTTCCCTAATAATTAGATCAGAAGATCTAGGGGAAAATGTGGCCATTCTGCCCATTGAGTCTGCTCCGCCATTTGATCATGGTTGATATTTTTCTCAACCCATTTTCCTTCCTTCTCCCCATAACCCTTGATCACCTTACCAATCAAGAACCTATCTATCTCTGTCTTAAATGCACTCAATGACTTGGTCATCACAGTCCTCTGTGGCAATGAGTTCCACTGATTCGGCCACTCTCTGATTGATTGCAATACTTTGGTAATTGGCTTATAGTCATCCACTTTTTGATTCCCTCCCTTTTTGAATAGGCGTGTCATATTGGCAGTTATCAAATCCTCTCATCCAGAATTTAACGATTTTTGGGAAGTTACATCCAATGCATTCACTATCTCTGTAGTTACCTCTTTTAGAATCCTAGAATGCAAGCCATCAGGCCAGGAACATATCTGCCTTCAGTCCTATTAGTTTCTGTGATACATCTTCTTTAGGGATGGTGCTGGTACTTAAAACCACCCCCTTATTGTTTCGTATTGATGGGATGTTTGAAAGACTAATAAAGACTAATGAAAAATACCTGTTTAAATCCTCTGCCATTGCCTTGTTCCCCATAATCATCTCTGTAGAGTAATTGCCTGAGAGGCCTATGATCACTTTGACCTCATGCTTCCTTTTTATATATTTAAAGAAGCTCTGATTGTCTATTTTATATTTCTTACTAGTTTGTCCTCATATTACCTTTATTACCTTTTTAGTCTTTCTTTGCTGAATTTTGAATTTATCCCAGTCTTCTGCACTATCACTGACTTTGGCCTCCTTGTATACATTGTCTCTCAACTCAAGAGTCTCTGGAACTTTCTTGCTTAGCCATGGTTGGTTTATTCCTCTTTTAAAATCTTTCCTCCTTACTTGGTTACATGTTTGTTGAAAGTCATGAATTACCTGCTTAAATGTCGGCCAATACCTGATTACTGTCATTCCTGATAATCTATCCGGCAAATTCACATTAACCAACTCTAAATGTCATTTTATTGTAATTCCCTTTATTTAAATTAAACACAGTTGTTTCTGACCCACGTTTCTCATTTTTAAACTGAATATTGAATTCTATTATTTTATGATCACTATTTCCTTGGGGTTACTTCAGTCTGAGATCATTTCGCTTTATTACTCATTATTACATTCAAAATAACCTGGTTGACTTCATGGCATACTACTCCAGGAAACTGTCCCTAATGCAGTCAGTGAAATTATTGTTGTAGCTACCCTTTCTAATTTGATTAACCCAATCAATTATGAAGATTAAAGTCATCAATATGTAATCTGGAGATTATTACCTTTTTGGTTCTGCTTTATAATTTAGCCCTAGATGTCACATTCCCTCAGCAGAACCTCTTTCCTCCTCCAACCTATATCATTGATACTTACATGTATCACGACAACTGGTTCTTTCCCCCGTCACTCCAAATTCCTCTGCAGCTCAGATGAGATATCCTAAACTATGAACCAGCAGGCAACAAAGCCTCTGGGGCACTAGATTCTGCCTATGTTCTTGTCCATTCTATTCCCTCTTATAACCACATGTCTCTTTTCTCCCCACTTTTGACTGGCTTCCTGTTCCATGCTGCTGTGGTCCGTTTGCTCCCTATAGCCCCTACTGTCGACCACACAGGGAGCAAGAATCTCAAACCTGTTAGACAAGCTCAAGGGCTGAGGCTCCTGCAGCACTATCTCCTGGATCCCTCTACCTACCTCGCTTGTAGCCATGCACTTCTATCCCTGACCATTGAATGAATTTGAGATACTAATATAAGGGGTGTGGCTGCCTCCTGAAACACAGCATTCAGGTAAATTTCCCCCTTCCTTAATGTGTCACAGCATTCAAAACTCAGATTTCAACTAATCAACTCTGAGCCAGAGTTCCTCAAGCAACCAAAACTTGCTACAGATGTGCTCA